GGGACGAAGAGTTGTGAAAAAGGCTACAATTTTCTTGCTTTTGGAATTGAGAATAAAATAAAGGGACAGACATGATGAGAGATTTATAGGACGTAACTTTTGTTCATTGTGAAAAGTTTCCATTCTTCGCTGGTGTTCGCTGCGATCGGAAGGGAGTTTTTCATTACAAAGTGGTCCCACTTTAAACGAATAATTTTTATGTCTTCTGCCAACAACTTACCAGATTGCAGCAATCTATTAGTTAAATAAAACTAGCCATAGCTCATTAGCGGAAATGGTGTTTTGTCCCGTCATCACCACGACAAGTCACACGCAAGTGTGATGATTCTTCAATTAAAAAGAGAAATATTGATTCATTCTTCTTAAGCACAGAACTAGCACTGTGACATTTTCAATAGTTCCGTTTCTAGTTCCGAAACCTGTGAAAATTACTTGAATAACTTGTTCACCCTGAAACCATAGAAACTCTCCAGTGGTGACATTATTGCTTTACCATAAAAATTTTAAAGTATTATCATTAAAATGGTGCGCATTTGTTTTAATAAAATGCATTTCAAATAAAATAAAATATCATTTAATTCAATGTAAAAAAAGTTCAAGGTTTTGGCCGTAGATGAGGGGTTATAGGTGCTTACAAATAATGGGCAGGACCCAGGATCGATACCTATCGAATCATCAACAAAGTTTTTTCTAATAGCGGTCATCTGTCGGCAGATCATAGCAAACCTGCGTATTTGCTTATGCCATGAAAAAGCTTCTCACAAAAAACCATCTGCCGTCCGGAGTTGGCGTTGAACTCTAAGCGTAGATCTCTCCAAATCGCATAATTGGAGCAAAACCTAGGCCAAATATTTAGCAAAGTTTGGAAGCGACAAATAATTATTTATACATTTTGTTCTCCATCTAATCCATTGAGCTTTCGACTTAAGCGAAGTTGTAATTGATCTGCTTTATATTTTTTGCAATTAATATTCATTGATTGATTTTTCGCTTACATTTTGATAAACACAAACCTATACACACACACTTACATACATCTCCATAAGTAAATTAGCATTATACGCATATGTACTGGTATGCATATAAATTTATGCTTTCCACACGAAATTCAATATTGCACCTCAACTCTTTTCCACATCCAAAAATTGCGTACGTGACAATATCAAATAATTTTTACACATTTGTATGCCCATTAAAGCAAATGCCAAAGTCATGAAGTGAACACAAAGCATTAAATATATTGCCAAGTTAATAATTACAATAAAACATAAATTATAATTTACGGAAAAAGATTTGTATAAACGAACGCAAGGCACATAAACGAGTGGGGTTAAATGAAAAATGAGGGAGGAAATTCAACCCCTCACGAACATGTGAACATGCCACTCGCAAACAATAGAAAAATATTTCAAATATATTTATAAGGATATATACTACATATGTATGTATGTACTTTTGTGTGCTCACAAGACGTACCATTATCATATGTGTGTTAGTAAAACAATCTCACTTTGCACAAATGAATTAAGGACTCACACTCACACTAATACTCCCACCGACACCACCCCGAGGCCACCCATATCCACCCTTTGCTGATAAAAGTCGCACGTGAAGCTAACAAAAGACGCACCGGTTTCCGTTGTTGAGCGAAGCCACTTCCGTCTCGACGTAGATCACCGGCTCGCTGTCAGCCGACACGAGACAAGACGAGGTGACAAGTAAACCGGGAGACATAAAATGACTTGCTTGCTCGCATAATATGTATGCATGCATCTATGTATGTACATATCTATGTAAGCCCATATGAATGTACGTTTGAATCTAAGTAAATATGTATACATATATACATATGTATGTATTTTGGCATGGACCTACGTACATATGAAGGTAGGTAGGTATGTATGTATGATTAAACACTCTCATAAAGAGGTAAAGATGTAAGTGAGTTTAGAAACGGAACTGATGCTCATAAATTGAACTAAAAGGGCGCTTGTTGAGTGGTTAGGTTAAGGATTCGGGAGAAGTGAGGGGGTGATGGTATGTATTCACAAAAATTACGCACGTTACGTTCGTCTAGATTTATATGTAGTATTTATGTACAATCGGGTCTCGTATGTGGCGTGAAGGTTTCAAAATGTGTTTTGCCTCGCCTTGTGAATGTTTACAGACTTCTCTGCGCCGCGCTTTGCCACAAAGTAGTCCTTTGCTTTTGCCCTTTTTGCAACTTGCAATCAGTTGGTATGTCATTCATGCATGCTAAGGCACATATGCACAAACATACCTACATATGTGTGTATATTTACTGATGCCCTTTCACGATATCTTCTTAGTTCAATGTTGGTCGGGCGTTTTGGATCCCTCTGAACCATGCATATCTAAGGTTTCCTTTGCTTTGCACAACATCTCCCCAAAAATAAACGTAGATTTGTATTAATACTTACAAGTGCTTAGTACATGTGTACATACATTCGTCATCGTCCCTTCACCCTCTTATTCCAATTCCATTATACGCTGATATTACTTTCTGTTCAATTGAAATCTCTTTTCATGTGAACACACAAAGATTGTGCGCAATTTTCGTCGAGAATTCACTTCTTAAATTGTCTGAGAAAGATTTTAAATGCAAAAAAAGAAAAATAAGAAAGTATCGTAGTAAATAGGTGGAGAGGATATTTGTGAACTATTTGAACACAAACACGGTTAGTATTAGTTTTACGAGGAGGAAGCCTATACCCGTCAGTGTGGCGCTATAACTCGAGTTAAACCCCCTACTGTCCAAGTACCGATCCCCCCGGTACCACCGTCAAATATTTCGTCGGGAGCCGTTTTGAGCATAAGGCTCGCACGTTCATTCCAGTCGGTAAGAACAAATACCTTTCAAGCCCGTATGCGTATTGTATACTACCTTTGCGGTTGGAACGGTCTAGGTTCCAATCCGCGCTCAAGCCTCTTGTGTACGAAATTCGAAGCTACACTTCACTGCCGGCTGGAACGGCCTAAGTTCCAGTCCGCGCCTACGCTTCGATTGCACAAATTTTCGAGACCGCACCGCCTAGTCGGCTGGAAAGGCTTAGATTCCAGTCCGCGCTTACGCTTTAATTGATAAATTTCATGTTCAATAGGCGGTCTCAACGCACAAATTTCGAAGCCAATGCAGCTTTTGTGGTTGGACCAGCTTAGGTTTCAATCCGCACGGCATACTCTTTGGGTGTATAAATTTCAAAACGGCACTTCTCTGGCGGCTGGAATGGCCCTCCAACGGCTAGTTTCAATTGGCTCATCTGCCGATTGAATCGAGGGCACTCAAAGAATACGTGGTGGACGTCTTCTTCCACGCCAGTTGCGCAGTAATGTACCGTTGCATGTACCTTTTGTAACACATTGGTGTCGGTGTAAATTATTTTTTATGAAAGTTCATTAGTATGAATTCAAATATAAAATCAGTCATGTCATGTACATACATACATATAAATATATACTTAGGTAAATGTACCCAATTGGTTGTTAAAATCCTGCAGGTCACTATTTCATAGCCTTAGAAATAGAAATCCACGGCATAGCGGGCATTTGGGCTAACCAGTTGACTTTCATAAAAGGCAAGCTTACGGTGAATGTGACATCGTCAGGCGCTGAGCTGACACGGAATGCTATAAACGATAAACGTTTGTCAAAAGGGGCTGATTTATTTGATTTGATTTATTTATTAAGTTAAATTTAATTAAATTTACAGTATATAGGACCTTACTGTCTAAACAAAAATGTAAGTTACCAGCCAAATTCTTCTTCTTGGTGGGCGCTGTGACCGCCTAATCGATTCTGGTCGAGTCGAACAAGGCACGTCAGTCGTCTCTTCTTTGCCAACCAACTCTAATTTGAAATACCAAGTGAAGCCAAACCCTTCTCCACATAGTTTTTCCATGGAAAAGAAGCTCTTCCACTTCCTCTGCTACCAGCATCGCAGTCCACGTTGTATATTTTCAGAGCTGGTTTTTATTGTTCATGCTTCTGCGTCGTCGCCTGGGGCTCGGGTTCACGTTCTCCGCTATTTTCAGTGATGTTACCACTTAACAGGTCAGAGAAGTTTTCCTACCAAAATTTAAGTACGTTCTGAATATATGTAGGTCACTAGATCGCCGTGGTAGTTCTCCCTGGTCTTGAAACTTTCCGCAAGCCACCCAACTTTGTGCTAAAGTTTTCTCTGTACAGAACGAATTTCGCAAAGGGCAGACGAAAATAATGGTACTCAGTGCGCTTCCCTTCAAAATTCTTATCGGTACGGCCGGGAGGATCGGTATGTACTTAGCAGTTGGAAGGTTTAATGGAGTAAAGTCTCATATTCACAAGGCTTTCAATGCTTTCCATTCCTCCTACCTGACATCTCTGGCGTTCGACTCAATTTGGTGAGCGCCGATAGAAATTGCTGGCCTCCTCCATCTCAGACCCGCCGGGTCAGTTGATAAATAGGTCAAAAAGTAATGGGTGAGATAGAACTCCAAGTTAGTAATGAAGAATAATTTTGAGCTGGAATATGCGACGATTGGTTTGGTAAAAATGTATTAACTTACCTATGTATGTACATCAACATTTTCGCTCACAAAGGGAAGCAACTCAAGTGTAAATTTACGGATTTTCGTATAAATCTGATTAATTGTACCAAAACTCACAAATTTACACCAAGTTATACACCAGTATGCTACTTGAGAAGTTGGTACTCTATAATTCTTCTCGTTTCTAAAACTTTTCGCTAACAACAACTTACAACTACTTAATAATTCTCCATATTATCAAAGAATGCGCGTATCGTGTTATGAGAAAGGAATAGCAAAGCAAAGGAAACCAAACCTCGAGGGAAATCCTACAAAATCGATTCAGAGAAATTACATGTACATACCTACAATAATGAAATAGGGAAAGAAAATAAATTTGAAATATTTCACAAGGACAACCGATATCCACACAAATACTACTATGCTCATGTGTACACAAACCAGCGTACATACCTGAGGCTTTATTGCTGCCTTTAGCAGCTTTGTGCTTCTTCTGTTGTTGCTGGCGTAACGTTGAATCTTGAAAATGTTTACCAAAATTGTTGCTGGTGCTGCTTCTGGTGCAGGTGTTGTGGCAGTTACATATTGTAGGAGGGTATTAGCTGCTGTTATTGCCGTTTTCTTTTTGACTTTATTATACTCCCTGCTCTTCAGGCTGATTCGAGCCGTGTGGCAGCCAGATGTGATGGAAATAATTTTCATACAGTTGCGATGGGTTGGTGTCTATATTTCTACAAATTTGCATTTGCCATTGTTTCTGTTGTTGTAACTTTTGCTGTTGCTACTGCTTTGCTTGTTGCTGTCAACATCTTTTTGCAATTTAGAATGTCGCTAGCAGCAAAGCACACACCATCAACACACAACCGAATTAGTGTAAATCTGTAAAATAGCGCTGTAAAGTCCTTGGACTCGACTGCGAACCTTTGTCGTCCCTCTTAGATGTGCTGCCGCGCGGCTAGGACTGGTTATGAAAGCATAAAAAGGAAGACGACGCGTTACAAGCCAACGTAGCATCGGCGATGGTAATGGAAAGTCGCAATCACAAACATTTGCCAAAAGGCTGTGAAAACAGAGAAAATGAGCAAAATAAGACGAACCAAAGGAAAGTGAAGAGCTGCAACGAAAGTACTTATATTTGTGGAAATTGTAAAAGGGTGGCAACAATGTGTCACACGACATAGCTACAGCTAAATTGTCAACGTAGACACGATGGTTGGCGCAGGAGCGCACTTCAGACGCACGCCTTCAGGACAATAGCGCAGCGGTCGCATCAACACCACCACCAACAACAACAACAGCCACACTCTCAAACACTGCAAGTTGGTGGCGGAGCTGGTGATGATTTCGAACGAACACAAACGGATGCACAAACCCGCAAACGTTACGTTACAGTTGAGTGGAGTAATTACGCGTGGAAAATGACGGGTCGCTAGGGCTGCGACGCCACACCACACCACCTCACCTGATACATACATAAACTTAGCATATTCCCGATGATCCCCTTATTACAGCTCTGAACTTCCGTTGGAAAGTGTATTTTATGTTACAAGTATTGGTTCTTAGCTCTCACATTGCGCGCCGTCTAAGCCGACAGCTCGTCGTTTTGTGCAGCGTAGGCAAAAATTGGCAGCGACTTTGTCAAGGCTCATGGTCGCGCTGAAAGCCCGTGGAATGTTTTTTCTTATAGAGGTTGGCGCTTGTTTGGCCAAATAAAATTGAAATTTCAAGTATGATTGCCTTGCATTTGAATTTTTTACCATTTTTCTATAGCTTTCTTCAAACCTTTTGTTACCGCCGACGGATTTCCTTTTGTTCTCGCGCGTCACGCAAACACTCAGGAGAGTGATGAATGCTTTCTGTGTGTACGTGGATTGTGATGGAGTGGATTATGACACAGACCACAGAAGTGATTAAAATATTAAAAGTAAGTACGAGTATTCAAGATGGCAAGGAAACTTAACAATGGAATTGGAGAGACGATAGGATTTTATGTTGAAAAGAAGTGAAATTACTGTGCATTGTCTTTATTAATAATACTTTTAATGCTAAGGATCAAGAAAGCTGTTTTTTGAATGTAGTAGTTTTCTCGTATACGGTGCCATGGAACATAAAACTAAAGACTAGGTTATAAGGAGATAATAGCCCCATATAAATGGCAATATACGACCGTTGTGTTGTGAGTACCTATATTCCTATCTAAGTTAAAAAAACACTCACCCGAGTACAAATCATTTCTTGTAGGTCGTATGAGCTTTGCCCAAGCTCTTTTTCCATATGTGGGTATCCCTGTAAGGCTTATTAAAATGGTTTGCCAAGCATTCGTTATCTTCTTCTGCTTCTTCTACATTCTTTCACCTACAATAAAAGTCTGCCCCCTTAATCGTATCTCATTTAAACCAGTTAGGCAGGGATCACTAAGGGTTTCTTATGAGGAAGGATACTTCTATTCAGTTGAAATATATGAGCGGGGATGTGTATTTCCTGTTGAAGGATTTCCAGTTGTCTTGGTGGTTTCATAGGAGGAAATGGTGTTCTAGACTTCATTGGCTACTCGAGTATTGTGATCATTAGCAAACTGTTTGATTGCCATACCTAAACAAAAGCGTTGGGCGGAGCCTTTTCTGACGCCTAGCGTTAGCGCCCAAGTAACAAGTACCGTAACAAAGCGTTAACTCTACGTCAAATGCAGAAAAAACGCCAACAATAAGCATAGGTTTGTTTGTGTGAAACTTGAAAATTTTAGTTTCGCCGTTTTCTTCAGCCAACTTCACTTCCTAACACCCTGTTTGAATCGGATTTTCGAACCTCTCAGCACTGACGCCGCGTTATTTCGGTATAATTCATACAAATTGTCTGGGCATGAGAATTTTTCAACAGCCGGACAACGCTGTCGCATTTGTTTAGGTATGGCAGTAAAAGGCCGTTTACATACGACTTTCTTCGCTTTGCTTGACAGTTCGAACTTTAACAACAAAGTACATATGCTACAATAAAAGCTTTGACAGCTTCTGCGTTCTCCTTTTCCTCTATATTTCATCTGTGTAAAATAGATAACAAAATAATAATAATTTTCTAGCAATAATAATTCATATTTACCTTACTTTTGTCTTTAAAGGCAAATGCAAGCGCGCGAGAAAAGATACATATAAACAGCTGATTGCCATGTATTACAGTGATCGTTATTCTTGTTAAAGCAGCAGTGCTCAATCCTTGGCAAGCCTCAACCGACCGACGTCGATGGGCGCAGTCAATAATCAATAATGTTTTCGGTGTCAGTGTCGTATTTAAGCTAGTTAGATTGCACCCAGTCCCTCGCGCAAGTTCAGCTTCCTCAATATTAAGGGGCGGAAGTCGACCTCCTAGAGCAGGTTCTAAGGCTCGTCTAGGTCGTATCGCTTTGTAAGTTGTTGAGTGTAGCTTTGTATCGCACTTCGTCGAATGGATGGTATATGTAAAGCTCAATATCCATTCTTGAACAGTACAAGCACCATCTCACATGTCAGAGGGAGCGGATTGCTTTGAAACAGAGCTTTGTTGGTGCCTAGGCATCCATATGAGCTATGTATATTCTACAATGATGTGGGCTATTTGCATTATCAGGCTTCATAGTTAATTAGTTAATAAACTCTAAATATCTCTTTAATATGTATGTCCCTAACTTTTAAAGCCTAAGACCATTTCAGCTCCCTTAATAAATATGGGTAGCCGAATCGCTCATCTAAATTTCTTTGGAGGGTCTTACGCTGACTTAATGTATACTTTAAAATCAATACTCGGAGTCTCTGTTACAACACTATTTATGTTACTATTGTTGTTTTATGTTACTATTGTTTTATACTACTATTGTTAGAGCGTTATGTTATGTTTACAATTACTCACGTTTTGTTTTGTTTAGCTATTGTATTTAATAATTCTATTATGTACAAAGCCAACTTGCGTTAATTAATAAACAAATATCAAATATTTAAGAAGTTTGGTGGTGCATGAAATGAAACGTTTTAGTCCTAGACTTGCAAACGCCGGTCATTCCCATTCAAGACATAAAATAGCACCCTGTATCCTTGGCCAGGACAATCCGGTGCATGTGAGAGCGCAGTTGGTTATATCCGACTAGGCACCCTCTGAGCAACCTAATGTTGGCTCTATTTAAAAGATTTACGCTTTTTCTAGCGAAAGAATATCATAGCCTATCTAAAACTTTCTACCGCTTCACACTATTATATGCATTTTGAGTTTACCCATTCAGTAATTGCAAGTCTCGAAAAGGAAAAACTGAGTACGCAAAACAGTTCTAGCCTCACAAGGATAGACGATGAACCTCACCTCGTTCCGACAGTGTCCTTGTCCCGTTATTGCCCTGTTTCCCGCTGCCAAGAGTTGAAGATAGGGCTCTGATGACCGCTTGGGTGCCTGAAAAAAATAACTATAAGAACGCCTTTCCATCTCTGTTGAAGGTTCATTAGCGCGTAGGTCGTTGGACCAACGCAACTATTATGTCCTCCATCCTCGACCCCTATGTGTAACAATGTTAATATATAGGATCAAAGGGAGGCAAACGCCTAAGCGATTTTTGCCAAGTTCAATAAATCACGCCAGTCTTTTCTCTTTTGTGCCCACTGACGTCAATTGGAAATGCCAAGTGAAATCAGGTTCTTCTCCATTTGCTCTTTCCATCGCAGAGAAGACCTCCCTCTTCCTCTGCTGCCCCCATCGGATTCCGAGTTGAACGCTTACGTGGCTGGATAGTCTGAGTCCATTCAAAGGACATGATCAAACCATTGGAGCCGGTCTGGGGTTATGGCCCAATATTTTCTGTCAAAACATATATCTTTTAGAATGAAATCGGAAAATCTCCATATTTCCAACCCGATGTTAGACCTGAAATATCTTTATCTTGCTTGTTTTTACGGAGAGTACTGCCAGATATATATTCGCATTTGCAGCTCTCGCCAGGTTACTGTTAGTTGAACAACAAAAAATTGAACCTATACCATTGAAGCCTAAGCAATAATCGGACGAACCATTGCATGGTATTGTCATTCTACATATTAACTTGGGGTACAGACCCCATGTTCGATTAAAAGGACACCAACAGATAATCTTTGAGACGTTGCGAGTCTATTGCCTTTTGGAGCACAACCATTGTGATCTTAGCTCTAGTCATCTACAACTAAACCAGAAGTGATTAAAGACTGAATAACCCATCTCTCGGTAGATATAATATGTGTTCTAAGTTCCGCATTGGGTCAATGAAACAACTGTGAAAATGGGGCCGCCAATGAGTTAACGAGCGAGTATTACTTCCTGTTTCAAAGAGAAGAGTTGATCTCAGTCCAATAAGATCGAATATGTTCTTAAGGGAATATCTAATAGGTTATGAAAGCCCAACCCTGATGTGATAATGCTCATCGAGAGCTTACTGGATACTACCATGTTGGCATCCAAGCCGTAAGCAGTGTTCGTACTTCTACCACATTGTGGTAGTTCTACCACTTTTTTCAGCATCTATCACATTTACCACACAAGGTCTGAAATATACCACATATTCGCAATTTTGAATAGCTTTATTTTTACACGACATTTTTTTAAATTTTTTAATTTTAAGAGCAAAAAGTTTTTCAATAAAAAAGTATGGGAAACAAATAGGTGGCTGTATTCTGCTAAAATCGTTCAAAGTATAATCAAACATGTTTTTATACGGA